CATGATCTAGCAACAGACTGAGCTAATCAGGCATTCGCGCCGAACACGGAACTCAAATCACCCACTGCATTAACTCGGAACTCGTTAGTAAAGATCCGTGACAGTGGCCTTTGCTTCCCCTCCGCGTGACCCACTGCGTCAGCCATTCAAGATGATGCGCCTCTGCCTCCCCTCCGCGTTCCTGCGCCTCGCGGACGAGCACGATTTGGAGAACCAGGCAGTCCCAGTCACTTCCCCAGAGCGCCTTCGTTGACCCCTCCCACTCGCTTCCCTTGAACGACGATCTCTCTTGTCCTCAAGGCGCCAAATTCCCTGGGTTAGCGGCAGCAGCGCCGCTCAAAGACACGCTTTCATCATCAAGAGACGCGTGTGATCTACTGACTGCTGCTGCTGCTGAGCAAAATGCTGCTGAGAGGAATGCTACAGGGTGGGCTGATCGTGCTTCTCTGGAAGCAGGCCGAGCATCTCTGGACGCGCAGCAGGGAATGAGCCGCTTGCCACCACGCCCCGGAGGCAGCGGCCGAGTCTCCCTGGAGGAATCGTGCTGCGGCCGCTCCTACCGCTGCGACAACATGTGCTTCCGAGGCTTGGAGGCGTTTCCGGGAGAGCCCACACGACGATCTGATGCCGCCTCTCCACGCCACTCTGCGCTCAAGAAGCCCCTGGAAAGGAAGCCATCAGGCAGCATTCCGCGGGTCATGAGCGACTTTGATCCGATCTCTTCGCGTCATTCTGACCCGGGTCACATTTGTGGCGAATCTGATCGGTATCGATCCCGGGGAAGGACTTGGGGCTCTGCTCGGGACACTGCTTACAGCCAGTCGGCCAGTTTTGCCAATTTGGGTTCTTTGAGCGCCACAGGCAGTTTCTCGGAAACGCGTGATTCAAATCACCGCTGCGCGTCAGGTTTGAGCCTCGGCACTCGCTTGCAAAGCAGCCACAGGCACTCCTTGGGAGCGGCTCTCTCAGATCTTGCTCTGATTGAGGAGGCCCTGGGTCTCTCACAGCAAGACAGCCTCCATACGGACACCTTGAGGGAGGAGAGCCATTCTGACCCGGGTCACATTCGTGGCGATTCTCTCTGTGGGGGGTGTTCTTGGCGTGCTGCTGAGCTGGCGTGCAGTCCAATGTGGGTGGATAGCGCCAGGTCACGGATTCAGGAGGCTGCACTGGCTGTGGTGGAAGCACAGCAGGCAGCCGCGGAGTTGAGTGCACGGATTGATAAGGCAGAGGGACGTGCGACAATAGGGCTTGCACCAAGGAGCCTACCAGGATTGTCCTCCTCTCCTGTGACCAGGAGGAGCTTTGATGGTGTGGCGAGTATACAGCACCAGACTGTGGAAGTAGGTTCCAGTTCACCCAAAGAAGCCTCATTCCTTGCAGCCAACAGAACAAGAAGTGAAGGGTCGTACATTGGCCAAAAACTAGCGAGGCTGTTTAGCATGACAAAAGCTCAATCAAGTAAGAGTAAAAAGGGTCAGTTTTAAATGAGATATTGGAAAATAAAATCAAAATCAAATATATGTTGCTATTCTCTCAGTGAGCTGTTCTGATATTCTTCCACTACAACAGATGTGGTTATGACTAACAATTCGTCAACCTAGGGTTCTGAAAACTTTGCTGTGTATCAATGATGATATCCACAAGAACCGTGTCCAACCGTGATGCACATACTGAGCAGAAAATGAGCGTGCACATACTAGCCATCCAGTCTCCCTCTCTCACCCGCACAGCTGGCAGGGTAAACCCGAACCGAATGTGAGAATATCGTGACATGGCAGCACAGCCGAATATTGCCCAGCACAGCCGTAAATGACACGTCATACGACAAGTTGACCTGAGTCACCTGACCGAGAAAGTCCTTATTTCCAGGCTGGCGTATCCATGCTTTGTGGCTCCTCCCGCTTTCCCGCCATTTTGCAACCACGCAATTAGCCCTTGTAGAGATATCCCGCAAGGGTGAAGGAGCCAATAACAGCGCTCTTGCGTGCATCCGTATGACCATTGACCAACCTGATTTTGATCCTGCACTCATTGCCCGTCCAAAGTGAATCCTGCTCGCCCCCAAGCTCCCAGCACTCGCTTTTCACACACCAAGCTCTCGAATTTATTCTCTTGGGAACGAGGGTGTGGTGTGTCTGAGGGGGGATCATGATAGGATTCCAGAATAAAATACGTATGGGACGTGTGGTTCGGGAACCGGGGAAGGGGGCCTAATGCCTACTCCCTGTACTGTATACGCGCGTGGGGCTGGTCAGGGAGGTCAGGTGCGACTCTTCGAAACTGTCCTTTCGAGCGCGATTGGTTCATCGGGTCGGTCTCTCAAGAAAAATATCGCGTTGCCAATGGTGCTCTGGGCACGTTCTTGGCACAGCAAAGGCAATGGCGCGTGAACGACGGGGGACTTGTGTACAGACAGACAACACTGTATGGTGTGAAAAGGCGTACAGTACCTGGGTGTTATTCCTTAGCCGTTCCGTGAGCAACAGCGGTCAGTGCCTTCACTCCAGTCCTTCGATGCGCGCCGGTTCATCGTCTTTCCAGCTGTCTCCAAGCCATCCCGGCAGTGGCCATGAGGCTGCTGGGCGGGACATGAGTACTTGTCCCAGATTCAGACGTCAACGACAGTGACTCAGCTCTTCAACCCTTAGCTGCTCGTTCTACGATATTAATGTCGTGGTCCGGTGTGTTTCTCGTCCATTCAGTTCGATTCGTAGCTACTGGCACCACCCGTGGTTGTTTCCGTTCATTACCAATGGCGGCGGAATCCTTGTGTGACTCCACCTGGACTATTGGCCGTTCGGGTGCCTTCGAGGCGTCATCGCGCGATTCAGCGAGGTCGTGGGAGCACGACGGTGCGTGGGAGCTGCGTTGCGACTGTGGAGCTCGATCAAGTAGTAGCAACTTGGAATGCGACACTCCAACGGGAGACGACGGCGTCGCAGGTCCGCGACACTCCAGCCTCCCGTTGCACATGTCGTATGCTGACATAAGCCTGCTTTCCCGCCGTTCCGACGACTTGAGCATGCGACAACGGCGGTCGTGTTCTCGTCGCACGTCGTCGTGCAGCGACATCAGCGTCATGTCGCCTGCGTCGTCCGTCTACTCACATGACGACGCGAACCGGACGTTGATGTGCGTGGAATGCTCGAGACTAGACGCTGAGCTGGCATGCGATCCGTCGTGGATTGACAGCGCACGTGCGAGAATCAGCGGGGCGGCATTGGCTGTTGTGGAGGCGCAACAGGCAGCGGAAGAGCTGAGCGCGCGGGTAGACACAGGCGCAACACTCCCCGTGCGCATAGGAACCCCTGTTAACCTCCGCAAGCTTTGCATGGGAGAGGGCCAGGGATCGAATCTCAGAAGTGGTGTTCAGAGGGGGGCAAGAGGGAGGGGTGAGGAGGACGTACGCAACAGTTTGGATGCTGAGAAGTGCACAGCTGTATTTGATAAGATGGTGGAAGAAGAGGAGGAATCTGGAGCTTCAGTGACCAAGCTAAGGGGCCTGGGGCCCGGGTGGGGGGAAAAGATGCTGGGAGATGACAATTCAAGAGTTGATACGGGGGTTGCTGGAAAGCATAGCGAATGCAATGGAACTCAGGACAAGAAAGCCAGTCGAAGGAAGCATAAGGTTAGGTTTATTATTGGTTGGTTTGGTATGATGGTCAAAGATTGAAATGTACATAGAAAATACGTGCATTGTGTGCATAATGTATTATAAGCCTGTATTGATCGTTATGGTAGCTTGTTGGACCAAGAAATGATGCAATGTATAGATGTATTATTGTCATGCGGATTTATCATGGTCCTGATACTTGTGTGTTCTGGATGCATCATGCATCTCAGCAGCACACCCGGTACAGCCGTAACGAGACCGTCGCCTTTGCGGGGATTTTGCTCTCGCCAGAAAACCTCCTCCCTCATCTTTTCCTGGTCCTCCCAAGATTGCGGATCATACCACTTTTGAAACGGATTTCGGTTAACACCGCGTTAGACCATTGCGCACCGAAATAAACCTATCAGTCAACTGTAAAGCAAACCAAAATTGCCCACATTGCTCATTTTGATTGCTTTGGACTAAACCTAAAGAAATTAGGACTTCGGCGTAAGTACTTAGTTTCCGCATACCAGTCTACAGCTTGTTTTGATCGGCCTTTGAATTGACTGAAATCTGCACGCTACCTTACCTTGCTCGGTTCTAAGGAGGTATGGCGGATCAATGGCAGGCCACGCAAGCAGGCGCGTCGCAGGCGGGAGCCATGAGCGCCGGGAGCCAGCCGGCCAGCAGCACAGGTGCCTATGCGCCGTCACACCAGGTGCTGCCGCCGGAACCTTCCACGAGACGTGGTTGCGTTGCATTTAGCTGTCCTCTAGATCCTCACTTGATGGTTCCATTCGTCGCGTCGCGCGTGAACCCTCTTGTTTGGTCTCTTCTGTGTTTCGGGATTGAGCCTCTTTTTTAAGCAACCATGATCGCTTGCTCTATTTCCGGTTCTTACAACAACGCAAAAGAAGAAACCCTGAAAAAAAAAACGCGTTACGGAAGCCCTCAGGCTGACATGCGTGGTCGCCGTGTTTGCTTCTGTTTCAATCTGACGCATGATGGCGTCAGCAGGGTTGGGACGCGAGCGGAGCGTGGGGTTACCAGCAGCAGCAGCAGCAGCAGCAGCAACAGACGCAGGAGACTCAGCTTGGCGGTATTGTCTTTCCGCTAGTCTTCCTGATTCTTGATTCGCCTCGTAAATCGTTTTCGCCAAGTCCCTGTAATGCGTCGGAATCGCTTTACAATAACGACTTGGTTATCTTCCATGTCCGTCAAGTCGAGTCATATTGATATGTTTTGCTTCCATCTCCGTGCGTCATTACCCGCGTCGCTTAAGTGTCAGTGAATCGTGCATCGCCTTATTCATGGCTCCCTGAATCCGTGTATCAACCCGTTTATGACACTCTTAAACTCCTCATGACTCCCTTGCACCGTTCACGGCTCCCTTGAACCGTTCATGACTCCCCCACCCCGTGTATCAGGGGCGGAGCTCGACTGGGCGGCCAAGGCGCGGCTCTGGGCGGAGCAGCGGGCGGCGCAGGAAGCGGCGGACGCAGCGGCGGCGGTAGCTGCGGCGGCAACAAATAAAGAAGCAGCAGCTAACGGGGACAAGGAACCGCCGAAACAGGATACTGCAGCAGCGGATGCGGCGGGGGGGGCGCCGGGAACGCAACAGCAGGATGTGGGTGCGGGGGCCGGGGGAGGCGGAGGAGGCGGATACGGGGGGTATGTCGCTGCTGACGGGACGTATGTGGGTGGTGGATATGGCGGGAGCTCCGGGGCAGAACAGCAACAGCAGCAGCAGCAGCAACAGCAGCAACAGCAGCAAGAGCAGCAGCAGCAGCAGTACTATCAGCAGCAGCATTACCAGCAGTATTACTACCCGCCTGAAATGCACCAGCAGCAGCAGCAGCAGCAAATGTACATGTACCCACCTCCACCTCCTTCCCACGGCCCGCCTCTCCCCCCCCACACGCATCCCCCCGATCCCGCGTCGTTCTACCCGCCGCAGTACCCCCCTTCCCCGATGCAGTACCCCCCTCCCCCCGCGCAATTCCCCCCTACTGCCCCCGCTGGTTCGTACAACGGAGTGTACTCGGGATATGGGGACGCAAATGCGCCTGACGCAGCAGCAGCGGCAGCATCAGCAGGAGCCGGTTTTCCCCCGCAGCACGCGCACGAGCAGCACTACCAGCGCCTGCCCCCGCCACCCCCCCCTCCGCCGCTCCTCTCCGCCCCGCCTCCCGCGCACGCCTCCTCTCTCCCCCCTCCGCCCGCCCCGCCGCCAGCAGCAGGGGCGGCAGCAGCGTACGCGCCGCCAGCCAATCAGGCAGGAGACATGTCCGTGCTCTCACCAGCGGTGCTGGCGGCGGCCCAGGCGGCAGCAGCCTCTGCAGGAATGTATTTTGATCCGGCTGTTTATGACATGGGAGGGGGTGGCTCTGTCACTCCTGGCGCTAAGCCAAAGAAGGTGAGCTGCTGCCGTCGATTAAAACGCTTTAAGAATGCCATTCAGATATCTCTCTGTCCTCCCCTCCTTCCCCCCCCACCCCCACCCCTCCTGCACCCCACCCCCCCGTCCTTCTTTCTGTTCTCGCCCCTTTTCTCTTCCTCGTCCCCTACCCTCTCCCGCGTCCCCCCCACACACTCTCTCACTCACTCGTTATCTTTCTTTCCACCCCTCCAGTCCCTCCCCTTGTGGCTTGTGGACGAGGTCGTCAAGAAGAAGGCAGCCCTCGCAGTCTCTCCTCTCAGCCTCCTCTTCCCCCCGTCCTCCCTTCTAACCCAACCTTTCTTACTCCATACTCCCACCTTCTGTCTCCGCTTCAGTCCCTCCCCTCGTGGCTTGTGGATGAGGTCATCAAGAAGAAGGCAGCCTTAGCAGCAGCAGGAGCGGCAGACTCACCCGCTAAAGCGCCCCCCAAGGACAAATGGTACAACGATAGAGGCCCTCTCGCTGGAACTGGTGCTGGCGCTGGTGGCGCTTCTCGTGCTGGTGGTGGGGGGAGAAGGGGTGTGGAGAGTGACGATGAGGAGGAGGACGAGGAGGAGGAGACGGAGGTGCAGCGGCGGATGGCGATGAACAATGAGATCAAGCGCGTGCTCACAGAAGTGCTGCTTAAGGTGGGTTGGATGTTGAGGGCAGTCGCATGTGAGGGGGATTGCACGCACTGCTGCCAGGTGCAGCGGCGGATGGCGATGAATAATGAGATCAAGCGCGTGCTCACAGAAGTGCTGCTTAAGGTGGGTTGGATGTTGAGGTGAGGTGGGTCGCGTGGGTGCTTTGAGGGATGCTGAAGAAGCTGTAACGTGCCCTATGGAGGAAGGCGATGAGCGGCGAGATCAAACGCGTGCTGACAGAAGTGCTGCTTAACGTGGTTCGGATGTCAGGCGAGGTGGGTTGCATTGCATGTAAGGAGTCGCACGCGAGGGTTGCACGCGAGGGGTTGCACGCGAGGGTTGCATACGAGGGTTGCACGCGAGGGTTGCATACGAGGGTTGCACGCGAGGGCTGCATGCGAGGGTTGCACGCGAGGGTTGCATTGCATGCGAGGGTTGCATTGCACGCGAGGGGTGCACGCGAGGGCTGCATGCGAGGGTTGCATGCGAGGGTTGCATTGCACGCGAGGGTTGCACGCGAGGGTTGCACGCGAGGAGTGCACGCGAGGAGTGCACGCGTGGGTTTCATGCGAGGGTTGCATGCGAGGGGTGCACGCGAGGGTTGCACGCGAGGGCTGCATGCTTGAGTCGCATGCAAGGGGGTCACCATCACGTCAGGAGCCTGAACTGACTTCTGAGTCAACAGAAATGTCATCTCGTGATTAATGTGGTGAGCCGTGTGCTTAATTCGCCACTACACCGTCTCTCCCCGGCCTGCCCCATCCTCTCCCCCTTGTCCCAAACTTTCCCTCCCGCACCACCCTCCCCCTTGTCCCGCGCTTTCCCCTCCGCACCACCCTTTCCCCTCCGCACCACCCTTTCCCCGTTGTCCCACACTCTCCCCCTGCCCCGACCCCTCTCTCCCTGCCAACAGGTGACTGACGACATGGTGAGGCGGATTGCCAAGGATGCTCTTAGGGATCCCCGCGAGGAGGACGACGAGGAGGAGGCGGAGGAGGAGGAGAAGGGGAAGAATGTCAGTGGAGGGAAATGGGTGACAGTGGGTGAAGGGGATGAGGAGGAGGAGGAGGAGGAGGAGAAAGGGGCCGAGGGGGAGAAGGATGGAAACAGGCGTATGGAGGTGGAGGGGAAGGAAGATGGGAAAGCAGGTGAAGAATCAGGTGAAAAACCAGGTGGGGCAGGTGCGGTTGAGGAAAACAGGGTGGTTGTGGAAGGAGGGGGAGGTGAGTTTGGGAGGAAGGGGTGGTTGATAAGAGTAAGGCAGCGAGTGGTGAGAGGAAGAGGAAGAGTAAGAGGAAGAAGAAACGGGCGGGAGGGGGAGGAGGGTTGTTGGGTGGAGGGCTGTTGGGGATTGCATATGGTAGTGATGAGGATGATGAGGATGATGATGAGGAGGATGAGGAGGGGGAGGGGGAGGAGGAGGACGACGAAGAGGATGAGGAGAAGGAGGAGGAGGAGAAGGAAGAGGAAGAGGAGGAGGAAAAGGAGAAGAAGGAGGAGAATGAAGTGGTAAGGGATGCAAAGGACAGAGGGGTTGATGGTGGTGAAGGGGGTGGGAGTGCGGTGCAGAGGGAAGGAACGGGGAGGGAGGAGCAAGTGACGGTTGGTGCGTTGGAGGAGAGGGGGGAGGGGAAGGATGGGGAAGAGGGGGATGAAGGGGCGAAGATAAGGGGAGATAGGAGCATGGGGCAGCAGGAGGGAGGGGAAGAGGTGCGCAGAGAGGGGGCTGATGAGGGGGAGAGGGGGAGGAAGAGGAGCGGGGGCGGGGATGACGGGGTAGGGAAGGGGAAGAAGGCGGAGGAAGGGCGTGGACGGGCGAGGGGAGAGGAGGAGGGAGGGGAGGAGGGAAGCATGAAGGGAAAGACGAGCAGGAGGAGTGAGGGGAAAGATGATAAGGAGAAAGATGTGGAGAGTGAGGAGAGCGAGGGGAGGAAGAAAAAGAGGAGAGGGGAGCATGAGAGGAAGGAGGGAAGTGAGAAGAGGCATAAAGAAGAGAGAGATAGGAAAGCGAAGAGGGAGGATGAGGAAGATAGGGAAGAGTCCGGGAGCAAGGACAAGAGCCGGGATGCAAGTGAGCGTGAGGGTAGGAAGAGGGCGCAAAATAAGGAGAAGGATAGAGAAAATGATAAAGAGAAGGATGATGGAAAAGAGAAGGAGAAGAGGAGTGCTAGGGGCGAGGAGAGGAGCAAAGAGAGGGATGAGAGGAGGGGCAAGGAGAGGGGGAAGGAGAGGGAGAAGGAGAGGAGTGGTGAGAAGGTTGGGGAGGGGGAGAAGGAGAGAGACAGGAAGGGGAAGGAGAGGAAGAGGGATGGAGATGAGGAGGGTAGTAAGGATGAAAGCAGGGAGGAGGGTGGCAAGGAGAGGAAGGGATCGCAAGTTGAGAAAGAAAAGAAGGAGAAGGAGGAGAAGGAGGAGCGAAGGAGCAAGGAGAAGCGAGATAGGAAAGACAAGTCCGAGGGCAAGAGTAAGGAGGAGAGCAAAGAGAAGAAAGGAAAAGCTGATGCTGATGCTGATAGTGACGGCGGCAGGAGTGAAGAGCGGGGGAGGGGAGGCAGGCACGGGCGATTAGACAAAAGGAGGGCAAGCAGGAAGGGCAGGCATCGCAGCAAGTCTCGCTCCCCGTCCCCTCAACCCGAGCAGTCAGGCAGTGGTGGAGACGAGGAGGAGGAGGATCGTGGCAGGTGAGACGGTGGACATGGGGGAGTGGGGAGTGAGGGTGGGCATGTGAGGATGGGCATGGGAGGGTGGGCTTTTGGGGGTGGAGATGTAAGGATGGATGGCATGTGAGCGGCCATGCAATCTGTGATATGTTCCCCCGATGATGTTCCCTCAATGATGTTCCATTGCCTCGATATGTGCCTTGTGGGGATGATTTCATCCTTACCCACCCCTTCCATAACCTTCTACCTGCCTTCCTTATTCTCCGTTTGAAACCCAGGCATGGGAAGCGTGGGAGCAAGGACAAGGGGAGGGAGCGAGAGAGAGCAGAGAAGAGCAGCGAGAAGGAGAAGGAGAGCAGGAAGGGGAAGGAGGAGAGGCGGGAGAAGGGAAGCAAGAGGGACAAGGAGAAGAGGAAGGAGAAGGAGGGGGGCAAGGGAGAGGGGCACGGGGAGCAGAGGAGGAGCAGGAGGAGGAGTCGTAGTGTCAGTCGCAGCAGCAGCAGCCGCAGCCCAACCCCCAAGAGACGGTGTGATGAACCTTCTTCCCCAGTTAGTTTGTCCGTCCATTGACTTGCGTGATGTTAGAATCAAGTGCACACACCATGGCACTCTGCATTTATCATAGCCATTCCCATCCACCTGTGGAACTCCCACCTGCTTTCTGTGCGCAAGTCTGTGCATGTGTCTGCATGTGTGGGCGCATTGGTGTGCATGCATCTGCCCTTGCGTGCAGCTGCTGCCCCTCCCTCCTCCTCTCACCCTCTTGTCCCAGCCCCCTGCGGGGGACCAGTATTTCCCATACTGCCACCACTGTCACGCAGACCCGTGTCTCACGGCCCTTGCGCTGAGGCCTCTCTTGTTCTCGCGCCTTCCAGCCTAACAACCAACACCCCCATGCGTGGGCCTCTGGTGGCCTCTCCGGTCTCTGGGTTTTCCTCCCCTCTCCCTCCCTCCCACTTCTCTCTATGGTTCCGATCCTCCTCCCTACAGGTATGCCCTCTTCCATGCCCTACCTACCCTCCCCACCTCATCGCTCACTTCTGCTCGTCCTCCTTTGCTGTGTTATTCCTGTCAATGATTTCCCTGTTCATTCATTTGCTTTGGCTGCTCACGACTCACGCACACAAGCACGTTGACTCTCACTCGTGCATGTGTTGGCAGGCCCACGTGCGTTGAGCTCAAACATCCACGCTTCCCCCGCTTGTCCCCATGCCAGGTACCGGTCTGAGCGGTAGGAGCCTGCCTGCCGCATGGAGGCACAGGAGTGCGCGTTCGGATCGCTTGCGGAGGGTATCGGATATCGGGATTCTCACAGGGCGCTTTTCCACTGGTCTTCTGAGCTGCCTCAATTACTCTTTTTAGGCGCCTCAACAATCAGATCTTGGCACTTTTGAGCTGCCACCTCTGGGCTGAGATGAGAGCAGAAGGGCAGTGCTTGTTGTTTGCTCCAAGAGAGCACATACTACCTGAATCTGGAACGGGTCAGAACCAGAAGTGCCTTGCACCCACCTTTTTTTTGGTTGGAGTTGGAATTTGGAGTGGAGATTACGGGTTTTTGTGGGAAAAGAGGGTGTTTGTCATGAAAAGACTGATGTGTTGTTTGTTGTTTTAGTAATGCCATGATAACTTTACCGTGATTTGAATCTATGCGGCTACTCCTCATCAGGAGTGCACATTTGCAAGATAGATTCTAAAAAACTGAATCCTGTTTTTGCAGGCTGAAGAGTTGGTGAGCTGAGCTGCATCCCAGATGGAATTCTTCTCTTATGAACATACCTATTCCAATCCAATTCTCTAGCACCTATTGTCCACAGAACCAACCTTACTCCTAATGCCGTCCTTTCACCTCCCCACTTTGCTGCAGCCGCTGTTGCCCCTCTCCCCAACCTGCTGCTCCTGCTGCATGCTCTGGTTGCTGCATCGTCCCCTCCTCATTCGCCCCTTCCTTCCTCCTCTCAACTTCCTTCCTCTGCACCTCTCTCAACTTCTCCCTGTCTTCCGCCCTCTGCCCCCCCCCTCCTCCTCGCCTCCCCCTCCTCACACTCCACCGTTCATTCTCAAGCACAAGATACTCCCCTGACCGGTGCCAGCAGCCGCCACTGCCGTGCTACAGTAGCAGCCTCTACAGTAACGGTGCAATTCGGCTTCATGCGGTCGTGCACTTCCACTGCCATCACCCGCACCTCATCCAACCACGGCCTAGGGTCGTACCAATCATATTCCCTGCTGATTTCAGCTGTGCTACTGGTCCTGCTGCTGCTGCTGCTACTGCCTCCGCTGCCGCCGCCGTCGCCACCGTTGCTGCTGCTGCTGCTGCTATTGTCACTGCCATTGCTGCTGCTGGATTCCCCAGAGGCAGTGGAATCTGCATTCGATTTAGTCACATCGGCGCCTGCAGCCAATGGGGGCATGGCCAGCACTTCAGCCTCGGACCCCTCAATATCCATCTTCACAAAATCGAATCTCGCTAACCCAACCTGCTTTAGCACATCGCCTACAGTCACACCACGGATAGTCACGCCCCCCTCAGCTGCCCCTGTGGTTGCCACTCTGCTGCTGTTGCTGCTGTTCGCTTCACCCTCTACCCCCTCCTGAACATCCTCGTTAGGTATCACCTTCGTTTGTGTCACCGCTGCTATTAGAGGGCACCGGCGTAACCACATACTGCCACCCCTCCCTCGTCTTCGTTTGTGTCCCATTCCTTAGCAGCACCATTCCAGAGTGATTAAACAGCCCCGCATGCACCGCATAAACGTTGCGCAGGCGATACGTGTTACGCCGTAACACCTCGTAGTTCTTGTCACTCGCCTCTATGGCGACCACAGTAGCGTTGGGGAAGAAAGTGGAGAATATGAGCGTCGCATACCCCACGTTGGCTCCTGGGAACGAGGAGAGCAATAAACAGGAAAAGAGGGTGACGGTTCTGAGCGAAAGGCTATTCTCAAAGGCAAGGAGAACAATTAGCAGTCGACGAACGTCACGTGTGGCTTCACCGGAGCATTAGGCGGGCGGGACAGTATGTGCGGGGAAAAGCCATGGATGAGCTTGAACACGCAAAACGGTAAATTGGTACCCTCGCCACCAGCGCCATTAGCGCCACTTGCCCAATTCCCAACACCCGCCCTATTCCCGCCAAACGCGCTTACCTGCATCCAGGACAGTTCGCGGCCGGAAGTGCTTGATGAACCCGAATTCGTCCATCTCGACAAGCTGCTTCAGCACGCTGAAATCCGAGTAGTACGGCCGCAGATGCACCGTCAGCACGCACGGCGCGTGCAGGCACGGCACCTGGCCGTGCACCGCCGCCATCGCGCACACGACGGCGTCGCGTGGTAACCGTTTTCGCACGACCTCCAAGGCGAGGTAGAGCTGCCGGTTCGTCTGCCACCGCCCCGCGTACCAGTACCGCGGCTCGTCTGGCGCGGAACGCGGAGCGACGGGGGCGATATAGCAGGCGCATTGGTATTGGGGGGGGGGGGGGGTCCGAACCAAGGGGAGGAGAGGGGCGAAAGAAGGGATGCGGGGAGGTAGGGGGAAGGAGGAAGGGGAAGGAGGGTAAGGGAGAGAAGATGTGGGGGGAGAGAGATAGAGCTGGGACTTAGCCATGAGGCGGGAGTTACGAGCATGGCGGATCGATTTGGCGAAGAAAAAAGGAGCGGAAAGGGATCGGGGAAAGAGGAGGCGTCAGTGCCTCTTACCTCGCCGCCACCCATGCGCTTCCGCCATGACACTTCTCAGCTCCATCGGACCACACTGGACCCCATTGAAGCCCTTTGAACCCACGTTGAGAGATCTCAAATTGATACAAAGCGCGTCAGTGCATCTTACCTCGCCGCCACCCATGCTCTTCCGCCATGACACTTCTCAACTCCATTGGACCGCTTCAGACCCACTTCAAGAATTCCCAAATTGACACAAGCGCGTCAGTGCCTCTCACCTCGCCGCCACCCGTGCGCTTGCGCCATTATGCTTCTCAACTCCATCGGACCCATCCCGCACACGTCGCCCACAACTCGAATCCTCGCCATCTCCGCATCCGATATAGTCGCAACGTCGACACCCGCGAGGGAGTTGAGCTGGCGCACCAGTCCCGTCGCTATAAGCGCGAGCGCGAAGAAGGAGAGCAGCGGGAGGCTGTTCGCGGCCCACGCCCACGACCGCCATGGCTTGCCGCCGAAGAGGGAAAAGGACGAGGAAGGGGTGGAGTAAGGGGAGGTCGGAGGTCGCTGGCGAGAATCCAGCCGAAAGGGGTCTAACGGGGGCTGAAAGGCTTCTGGTCGGCGTGCCGTGTGTCGATTTTACGGGCGTGGTGGAGCCTTCCATGATGTGCTAAGCCGAAAGGGAGGATTTTTTTTTTTTTTTTTTTTTTTTTTGTTCCAGTGGAATGTACAGCTATTGCAGCGTTTAGCGCGTCTAGTCTCACAGCAGATGTGGATCTGGGGAAGCGACTAAATTGGCAGGCTGTGCGAATGGGAGTGTCTATATTCGTTGGATTGACTTTGGCGGAATGGACGACCTGAAGTGTCGCCCGGCGCAACCTAAACGGCAAGCGAGCGCCTTGCAGGATAAACAGACGATCACGCGGGCTACTCTGTGGTCGACAAACTCTGTAAGATCGCTTGTAAGATGCCCCAGTGAGGTTTGGTATTTATCCTAAACGAAAACATTTCCATCAGGTTCGGCACAGAGGTTGGGTGACGGATGTTTCGCAACATTCACCGCAAGGCTTCATTCTCTGCGGTCTACTCTCTAGGTATGAAGGTTAGGGACAAGAACAGAAGCAAGAACCTGAACAAGAAGACAGCGCCGACTGTGGCGTGGATTCAGCAATAACAGTTACAACACGAAAGAGACTCTGGTTCCGAATCCGCCGACATAGCTGCGTGAAACTAGTGGTAGAGCAAGGGAGGGTTGAAGGGGGAGGGGGAAAAATGCACCTTCTCTTTCTGAGTGAATTTTGAGAACAACAAATGTTCCTGCGACCAGCAGGAGAATGCGACGCGAACGCTTTGTGCGGTGCGGGTCAGACTTCCTCGCAGTCAGCGCCTATTGGTTTGGGAAAATTGAGCGCCATGTCTGCTGGCCTGACCTCGTTTGAAGAGTTTCGGATTTCACGCTGGTTGGCCAGCGGGAAACTCGGGGATCAGGTGGTTCAGGCGGTGGTGTGACTGTATGAGGTTGTCTGGCGTTGACAGCTCTGGTCTGGTTGGCTGCGAGTACTGTACATGTTGTCAGAGTGCTGCCTGCCATACGCCTCGACCAGAAGGGTTGCACTACCGACCGAAGTATTCTTCGTGTGGTCCTCTGGTTACTCAGCAACAGAAGATCGCACCTAGTCGTCGAGTTACCATGTCCGTCGAAGCAATATTTGACTCCGCTAAGACAACTGCGAAGTCTTCGAGCTTGCCAGGGTTGTCCCATTAGGTGGAACCAATTGACCGTCAGACGACCCATAAAAATTTGACATTTGGCAAATACATTGAAGCGAAAGCTCTGTGATTGGATGAAACGGCGTCTGTATGCGCTGGCACATCTTTCTGGATTACCCAGGCCCCTAGTTCCTTCTTTGCACCTTCTCCAAATCCACACTCCAGCGGTTAGCCCCTCGTTTGCATTCACAACACAAACCTCCATTCACAACCCTGATATTCAGCCTGGGGACATTCAAATTCAGTCTCACGCTGATTTTAGGCTCTTGGTAGTCCCGAGAGAAAGGGAGGCAGAGGAATCGTATTCCACGTTTTACTCCTGGCGTTTGGCTTCGGTGGTGCTTGTCGAATCAAACGAGTTTCTGAGCCATGTCTTCCAGCACGCTAAGTGGCGTTCGGTTGATGCGAGTCGTCGAAAACCATGGCCCTTCGAAACCATCAGGTCGGCACCATTGGTCCCATCTCATGATCGCGTGAAGATTCGTTCATGTTTCATTCATCCCGTCGCCCACGCTTTCATGCTCAGTCATGCTCGGTCTTGACTGCACGGATTTCATAATGCCATGTCAATTCTCACAATGGTGCCTCCAGTTTGATTCACTTCGCTCTTCTGTTTCTTTTCCTGTTACCAGCATTCATGACCATCAGAAGCAATGGCGCAGTCAACTTGGTCCCTCTGCGTCTCCACACAGTTTCTAGCGCCTGTGCCACGTCATCTGCGTCACTGAAAACGAGACGATTTTGGTGCAGGTCTGTCACGGCGTCAGCAGGATCAGTGTCGCAGGAAGAGCAGCAGAGTGGTGCCTCGGATCAGCCTCCCCTGGTGGTGGCGACGCGCGAGAAAGGCAAAAACGGCAAGCTGATGAAGGCACTGGTGAGTGTTGACATTCTGTGATTCCACGTTCAAAACACAATGGCACGGTGATGAGAACGGCTTTTTCAAGACTCCAGATGCAGGGAAATGCGTTGAAATCCCATTTGCACTTTTACAAATTATCGCGAATTGACGTCCTGCAACATGACGTGAGCGCTCCAGTATCGGAGTCTGCAGATGCAGCACTCAAACAGGTCCAAGTGTGTACGCTAGTAATTTTTAAAACCACGGCCTCTCCTGTGCTTATCTACCCAGAGTGCGAGGGGAGTGTCAGTGATGGAGCTGCCGCTCATCCAGCACTCAGACGGGCCCGACACCCACCGCCTGCCAGCCGTGCTTCAAGGTCAGTTCTCACCGCTTCCTCGCATCCTTGTTCTAGTTAGCTTCTTCTTTCCCTATCGGCCCTCCCTGTCCCCCTCGTTTTCCCTGTTCTTTTTTCGTTCTCTGCTTCCTTGCTGCCCCGTCTGAACCCTGGGTGCTTCCTCAGCGGTTTCTTGTCCTGTTTCGGTTTCTTCTGTCTCATGTTTCTTGCATGCAGAAGAGGAGTTTGAGTGGATTGTGATAACCTCGCCAGAAGCTGCTTCAGTATTCCTTACTGGCTGGAGGTAAGGTCCACCACACGCTGGCATTTTCTTTGCCTGCTTTCACACCTTGCATATGCATCGTGCATTGATTTCAGCAAGCTCCCTCGCATCACCCTTGACTCCCGCTCCCTGATTCCACTGACCTCGACACCTCCTGTCATAATCCCACCCACAACCCCGTGCCATTTCTTTCCAATATGACGCGCATCAACGTCAGAGCCGCAGGGTCGCCGGCGCTGAGGCTGGCAGTGGTGGGGGGCGGCACAGCGGAGGGTGTTCCAACCAGCTGGGCGAGCCCGAGAAGCACCTCCTGCCCGTCCAGTTCGTTCCCTCCATAGGTACCTTTTCCTTCCCTTGAACAGTAGTGATAGGCGCCGGCACAACCGGAGTGCTTCTGGTCTTCCACCAGCTGGACGAGCCGGAGAAGCACCTCCTGCCCGTCCAGTTCGTTCCTTCCACAGGTAACCTTTCTCTTCCCCTTGAAAAGTAGTGCTGGGTGCTTGCACAGGCGACTGCGTTGGTGCAACTGTATACCCTCTCCTCAATCCTCCCCTCTCCTCCCCCTCCACCCGCCCTGGCTTCCCCAGCGACGGCCAAATATCTGTCGGCTGAGATTTCGAAGACTTAAGGCGGGCAACCGCCGGGTGCTTCTGGGTGCAACCTTGTGTGCTCTCCTCATTTCCACTCTCTCCTCCCTCTCCTCGCTCTCCGCCCTCCCTGCGTCCCCAGCCACGGCCAAGTATCTGTCGGCTGAAATCCCGGAGATTGAAGGCGGCAACCGCCGGGTGCTGTACCCCGCCTCGGCCAAGGCCAGCACGGATCTCCGTGGGTGCTCTAGACCAGGATGCATGTCAAATATGTCTGGAATATGTTGCTAGGGGGAGATGAAGGTTGGGAAGTGGGGGTAGGGGTGGGGAGAAGAGGGACGTATTTTCTCCTTGCTTGGTTGATGGTCTATAACAGGCAATTGTTTTTTTTGTCAGTGCTTCCAACATTTCTGCACTTGCGTGTGTGTGTGACTGCAGAGAATGGGCTGGCAAGCAGGGGCTTCCAAGTCACACGGCTCAACACATACTCCACGGTATGCTGCATGGCTCAACACATACTCCACGGTATGCTGCATGGCGCTCACCTCGTTCTGTTACCGGCGAAAACACGTACCTCTGTCAGCTAACACGGTTGCGTTCCTTCTCTGGAGCTGCTTGTATCATTCACATACTTTCCCACTCCTCGCCTTCATCCTTCTCTACAAGCGGTCTCACAGAACCCCCTTCTCTTGTCGGCTCTCTTCCACACCTTGATCATCTCCTTCCTCCATGGCTTAATACGTGTGTCTGTGTGTAATGCGTGTATGTGTGCGCCACATTGTGCGTGCATGTGGGCATCAGGAGTCGGTGACGAGTGTGGACGAGGACACCATACAGGAGAGCCGCCAGGGCTCCTGTCGTTGCTGTGGGCTTCTCCCCACTGCTGTCAGGTGAGCAACAGCAGACTCTTCAGACTCAAGCATGGACCGTCTTCAATCTCCCCTTTTTCACGCTTCCCATCTCCCTAGCCCCTCAACCTTCCTCCCACCACTTCCTTCTCCTCTGGCTTCCTTCCCGCCTCGCCCCATGCCCATGCGCCCCAGGGCATGGATGGAGGTGGTGGCGTCCCGCACGCAGTGGGACAGAGCCTACTTTTGAGACGTAACCTCTCCCCTGTCTTTTGCCTGCCTCGCACCTCGCCCCGCAGCCCCAGGGCATGGATGGAGGTGTGGCGTCTCGCACGCAGTGGGATGGAGCTGCAGCGTGCGTAGGGGGAACTTCAAGCCGAAGCTGCGAGAAAAGCAGGAATCAAGAAGGTGTTTGCCCAGATAGCCCTGGAATTGAAAGGTAAGCTTGTTCAGGACCATGCACTACTCCACTCGCTACAATAAACCTCCCCTGCTATATCAACTGTCTCCAAAAAATTTGCATGCTCCTCGGCTGGCTTTTCTGTGCCCCTTCATCTCCCTCCGTTTCCCTGTGCAGCTGGGTGGCCAGTGTTATGGAAGCACTGGAAGCAGCACCTGCTGAAGCACAAGCGTAGAAAACCAATTTTTGTATTGTAAGCAGATGTACTAGAAATCACCGTATGAAATTGATAATACGATCTTGTTTGGTGTGTCATGGGTCTTCCAACAACCATTATAAGTTATGGTTTCGGAAAGGGATTCTAAAGCGCTGGGAGTGAGCTTGTGACGAGCTGTTCTGTGCGGAAATGGTCGCCGAAACTTCGTGTCGCGAACACGTCACTGAGATCGCCACGCCTGCCAGCTCAAAATTCGCGAACACGTCACCGATTTCGCCACGCCTGCCAGCTCCACTGACGAATGCACCCCATCTCGCTTCGCTTCGTCAGCTCAGACCAGTCAGAGAAACATATTTTCGCCTCCACTTTCTCATTCCGCTCGCGTTTGAACAAACCTTCCTCCTTTTTCCCGTATTTCTGTTTGGCGGGAGATGCGTTTACAGGAGGAGCCCTCCACATAAAGCTAGCCGCAAGACAACGCTTCTGGAGAGAGGTGATATTAATGACTCCGTACACGCCAGAAATAGGAAAGCAGACACCTATCCAGATGTGAACATATTCGTCACTCCCCGCTGCCCGCTTGGACATGTACGGAGCGAATTGCCTGGCCTTGCGCGTGTGCTGTCTAGACGACCTGTCCCGCGTCACCGTGAATGTTTCAATGTCGGGACGACGACGACACGATCCGTCCAAGGTATCACTAACTACCCCCAGGAGCCCCACCCGCATAACTACTAGAAGCAAACTTGGTTGTTCTGAACAACGCGTTATATAGTCCCGTCCCGCCTCTTGTGAAACCTGCATGTTTTTACGGCCACTCGTATAATATTATCAACGGCTCGTCTCTCCGCCTCTCGTAACATGGAGCGCACTGCGTTTTTCCTGGGCACTAATAAGTGAGCGCCCATTGACGCCGTTCGCAAAATGCATCCATGGCTCTGCGGTCAAAACCCTTCTCACCGGAGTTCGTTTTGGCATGATCGGGTGGTGCTGTGCCTTGCGTGGTGCTGGTGCGGTGCTTGTGCCTTTTTGGAGATACTTATATTTCTGACTAGAGCTCGTGTTGGCATGATTGGGTGGTGCTGTGCCGTGTGCAGTTGTATCGCTCGTTGCGGCGGGTGCAGCGTCTGCAACATTGCTTCCCAACAACCCCCCCCACGTCACCTTCAGCGTCTTTCTCGGCATTGCTCTCAAGCGGGCTGTCCGTCCCGTCCTCCACTCAGGCCACTCCTTTGGTGAAAGGAAAGGCGTTTAGTAAGTGCTTCCGTTCAACCAATGGTGTTTTCTTAGCTCTCAAAAACGCCTGAGCACTTCAGTGCTTCACGAACTTCGTGAAAATACGTTGAAAGTACTGTCTGCTTGCAGCAGCGATGTCGCCGTGAGCTGTGCTCCGCTGTTACTACTACCGCCACGGTTACTACTCGTGTATGGTGTGGTGGAACTTAGGGTCATAGTATCTTCCCACAACCGCAAGCGCAGTCACATAGCATAATTGGACAAGTGATCTTCCCGTCATTTCATATACTGAACGGAAACTATCAGTGCGCTGCGCGCATGTAGTGTTAGTGCTATCTAATCACGGCATCCTTCAGGGATGCTTTCCTTGGTACTTACACTCCCATTCCCTTTCCAGTGCGCTATGTGGCCAGGCTCACTCCTACTCGTAGCAACGGAAAAGTGGTTGGCGACAAAGGAGCAACTGGAAGAGTGGTTATGAAGGGAGTCGAGTAAGTTCGTTGTTCGGTAACCATAGTTTGGTGTAGCCCTGCAAGTCCTGAGAGTATTTTCCGGTATTTTTTTCTGCCCAATTCAGCTAAATGCAAATTTGAACAAGCTGCAATATCTGTGCTAAAAAATGCATCGATGTGAACATGGCGTATTCTTCTACTCTTGCACAAATATCATGTGAGGAGCCATGAATCGACCCGTGGTGCTTGTGTCCGTCCTATTCTCCCTCGCCTCAGTGACAGGGCCTCTGCAAGTGCCTTCTATGTTGTGATCAACGTGCATATCAACAACATCCGCTCTGGAGGGGCTGGGCCCTCTTTTGACACCGTTTCTTCTTGCCTTGCTGGCAAGTATGAGGCAGGAAGTGACTGGAAGAACGCCACGACTACCAAGGGTGGTCGGCGCAAGCGCTACAGCTTCACTAGCTACACTAGTGTGGGCCCAGGGTCGGAGGCTGTTGTTCGAAGTTTTATCAAACAACGGTTTGACGAAGAGTCGAACGCTTGGTTGGTGTTGTCTCATCCTAACAACAACTACGCACTCTGCGGGAAGATGAAGAAGCAACCGTAAAAGCTGGGGTGTGAGCACTGTAAAGAGTAGGAATGTAAAGAACATTGCAAGTTTGTACCGCTGATGCATGGCCTGGCCTGCCATCATGCCATGCCACCCCTGATATTGGCTTGAATTCTACCATTAGGAAGTATGGTTTTAAATAAGTAATGTTTTCAATTCCGGGGTAGATTTGCCTCAAGCGTCTTCCTAAATTTCAAATCGTGCCTTGGTTGTAGATCAGGGAGACCCGAAGT